ATATGTATTATTTTTATGATAATAAATTAAAAATGCGTCCCGATTAAATACTGCGTCTATATCACCCCCGCATTCGTCCACGAATTCAGTGCGGGGCGCATCGTGTTGCTAGGTGGACGTACGCCGCGTTGCGAGAGCTCAGTACTACGAAATAAAATCGTAAAATATTACTGCAAAAATTTAATTTTGTTAATAGTGGAGTAGGTTTTTTCTGATTCTTGTTTAATAGTAGTGTTTTATAGTTATATTAATTGTACAGTTTTATTAATGTTTAAGTTTAGTTTGTAAAACATGGGGAATAAGCAGAAACTATTGAAGAGAGGTCTAAAAAAATATTACAAACAAAAGGGTATACATTTATCAAGGTAAGTTTTAAGTTTTATCTACATATTTCATAATATTAGACAGGTGCTGTTTATAAAATACCTATATTACTGTGATTTCGCCACTCTGTGACGAGACAAAGCGCGGCAAACGCAAGTGGCGGCAAGGCGCGGGCCGCGTCGTCGCATGCTGGTTTACCTCGAAATTCACTATACGCGATTATCGTTTATTGATTATATGTTGTTTAAAAAGTATTCTTATCAGTTTTTTTTGTGTTAAATGGATGCTAAATATAAAAGAATGCTTCAGTATTGATAGCAATTTATTAACGAAATATCTGTTGAGATGTCTAGAAATTATTAATACTTATTTTTATTTATTTATTAAAATAATAAATAAATAAAAATAAGTATACATTTATCTATATTGAGTACTAGTTATTCCCCCGCGATCTCGCTCGCGTGGAATATAGATTTCATGGGTTTTAATTTTTTTGCGCGGAACCCTAATTCTTTTTCTAAAACAAAAGTAGTTCAAGTTATTCCTTATATTATCATCAGCTATCTGCCAGTGAAAGTCCCGTCAAAATAGATCCAGCTGTTCCGGAGATTAGCTGGAACAAACAGACAGACAGACAGACAGACCGACAGACAGACAAAAAATTTAAAAATTGTGTTTTTGTTACTAGTACTTTCATATGCATTTAATAAAAAGCTGTTATTTTAACATTACAAACAGACACTTCAATTTTATTTATTTGTAGATATTGATATAAGATATTATTCATATTGGTGTCATTTTAAAGGGAATATCATGTACTATTATAATAATAAAATAATTGATAGGACACCACTAAGGGAAGTGAAATTTTGATATAGGTAAATTCATGTCTTTATCTTGAATTTGATTGCTCAAAAAACACGATAGTATAATTTTGACTCGATCATAATTATTTTCGAAAACACCTCTAAAAAACCACTATAGTTGAAATTACAACGAAATTACTTAATCTATATGCTTCGAAATCACTCATATATATTCATAACATTAATATTCATAATTTACTTGCTCATTATTTTGATTACTCAAATCAATAATTTTTACAAAAATATTTTAAAGATTCTGAGAATTTCTAAGCGCTTTTAATCGTCGCGGGCGCTACGCTATTTTAGACCTTATGAGGGCGTTTTTTCAAGTTTTTATAGAAATTATGCATTCACTCGGATCAGTCCGGCGATAGCCCTTTCGAGGTGTCGTCTTAACGCAATTCCTTTGTATAGTGCGACGTTGCCACTCTTATTAGTTATTCCGCTTCGTAATATTTTATTTATAGGTGATATTTTGTTTATGTAGGTATACGATAGATTCCTATAGTCTGTTTTTTTCGCAGGAGACAAAAATAACAGATCCTTATTAGATTCGTTTAGCCCGAATAATACAGTTTTTATGATTCTGGTTCAGATTAGATTTAATTTTAGTCACTTAAGTTTCGTATATTGTTCAAAATAATGAAATAAATCCACAGAATCTGCAGTTACGAAAAAAAGCAATATCATTTTAGACTCCGGCGAAAAAAAAAGATATATCATGATTAATTTACCAACTAGTTATTCGTTTACTAAATACGAAAAAATATCTAGGATTACCCAGCCGTGATACATTACAGATTGACTATATTATCATTTATTTTACTATTGTAAATAAGTACTAATTGTAGATATTGACAGGTTTAATAGAAGTTCATTTTCTTATATTGTGACTAATAACCTAATATGACCTTGGGAAGAAACTCATTTCAATATAAGGTTTTACTGCAATGACTGCCAATGGGTTGTTAACTTCTACAATAGACCGTGACATATCGTTGCTGACATGAATAACTCCGAAAATATAATTTATTTACTTGATCGTGTTGAGTTTTTGTGCTCTCACTGCGAGTTTACTTTTTATGATCACTATCTTAAGGAAGAGTGCGAACTATTTACCTAATCTGTACAAAATTACTGTATACTTAACTAGATTCATTTTTGTGAAAGGCTATTTTTGTTAAATTAAGATATTATGTTTGGTTTTGCAGTTATTTGAATTACGTCGTATGACGTCAGATTATCGGTAAAGTTTAATACCGCACGATATTTGACGTCCATATAACCATGAATATATTTATATTTTAATTCCTTGTGTATAACACACGCATTAATGATCATTGATTTAATAACATTTTTCGCTATTGTTTTATTCGTATTTTAGTGTATGGAGACCATACGGTGTAAAATAGTCAATTTGGTGTTTTATAAAATGTTTCGTTCTAGAAATGATAAAACGCTTAGAAGCTTAGAAAACGTGTGTGAAAAATTAAATTGTAATTCAAATTAATGGTCAGTACGGTATTTATGGCCAGATAATTAATAGGTGATTAGTGCACAAATGTTAGTTAACTGTGTTGTTATAATAGTATCCTTTTTCTTTCCATAGCATTTATTGATGGATTTGGTAAGGGAGCGTGTATCAGTAATTGAAAATAAAAATACTGATACAAATACAAACTCAAAAAAGCTAGCAGCATGGGCAGATTTATTATGCAGGTACATATTTTTGTCTATCAATTTGTGAAGTGTTTGAAGATGAGTCTTCAACGCAATGATATTCTATATACGATCAGTTACATTATTATGCAACAGAAGCATGTCACTTCGTCTCTTGCTGGTCTAATGCATATAAGCTTTTAAAGTCATAACAGTGGGCACAAAAACTCAACACGATCAAGTAAATAAATTATATTTTCGGAGTTATTCATGTCAGCAACAATACGCCACGGTCTATTGTAGAAATTAACAACCCATTGGCAGTCATTGCAGTAAAACCTTATATTAAAATGAGTTTCTTCCCAAGGTCATATTAGGTTATAAGTCACAATATAAGAAAATGAACTTCTATTAAACCTGTCAATATCTACAATTAGTACTTATTTACAATAGTAAAATAAATGATAATATAGTCAATCTGTAATGTATCACGACTGGGGAATCCTAGATATTTTAAGTTATTGCATAGCTTCTATCGCGGGCCTTGAGCGCGGGGACCGAATCCAGAAATTCCGTAACGAAAAAAACCTCACGCTCCCCACTCCGACGGGCACGGAGGTGTGGCGTTGAAAGCCGTGCATCGTCTAACGTCGTTTCAGTTCGGCAGACTTCGGCACTCGGCAGACTTCGGCACGGTGTTTGTGTGCGTGCGACTAGTCGTATGCGTGTGTACTAGCTGCTAACTGAACGATAAAAATTCCTGAATAACCTACATGTATTGTAAGATATTAAAAATATTTTAAACAATATTAACTTCTCATTTATACAATAAGAGAAAAAAAATTGTTTTCTTATCGGTCACCACGCTCAAAAAGTGTAACTTGATTTAATATCAAAGACTTAACTGCATAAATAAAATAAATAATTAATTATAATTGCATAAGTTGATAAAAATGCTATGCAATAGCTTTACCGCGGCAGTCCCCGTGTGCCATACGTCTTTTTTGTCACTTTTTGCGACACGCTTTGCCGCTGCCTATGGCATTCTCTGTCTACGGTAATAGGGATATTAGCTAGTAGCTAGCTAGCTATTAAGAGTGCAGAAGTAAGGAGTACCAATTCCTATAGTAGAACAGTTGAAAAAGTGGCCATCTGTAAGCAGTAAATAACAGTTCAAAAACTATCAAAAACTCTCCACAACAGCGCTGGAGTAGCTACTGGGATGAAATGAACTTAGCAGTTGTCGAGTTGTAAATATAACCTCGAAAAAGTCGTCTATCTCACTAATATTTTTCGGTGCGTTCTTTAAAATTTACCCCGTAGTTATAGTGGCGCCACCCTTATTTAATTGTTTTTATGAACACTTTTTAATACAATGTCTGTACTCCTTACTTCTACACTCCATACTATTAGCTCGTAGACAGAGAAACCTATAGACAAATTGACGCCTTCTTTCGCATCCGCACACGAAAAAGATAGATTTATGCATACCTCTTGCATATAAATGAGACAGAGCGGTGTGATTGTTTGTCCCTTTCTCCGTGCCGGTTTTTTTGCTGGTGTTGTTTAGCAAACTACACTTTACTAAACAAAACTTTGACAGATCTAACGATTTTACAAGTTGGTTTAAGTGAGAAAAAAGTGTTATGTGAGCTTAAGATTGGTGAGTCTTGTTCAGTTCAGTTCTTAGAACAAAAAATTTTTTTATCTAAATATGTTTAAAAGTCATAAAGATTATTGTATAACCTATAACTATGTTATTGTTCTTTCTCACTCGAGGCCACGCTAATCATTAGTTTATAGGTTTCTCTGTCTACGGTTTACGTATTATAATAGCTACTTATTATCATAGCTACTTCAGTCATAGATAATACACAATATACCAGAGACTTCAGGTTATGTACACCTGGCAACATTAATTCTAAAATTTATTTCAAATAAAAAATATCATTGTCTATGGTGGTCTATGGACAATGTGCATTATGGTGCATTACTTTACTCCAGCGGACGGATTTTTCCAATTAATTTTTGTTACAGTGATAATTACTTACCACTGCCTATTAATCTAGTGCCAATGACATTTTACTCATTAGTGTATATGTTTAGTATAACTAAAAACATATCCATAGCGTGTACAAATATTGTGTGACAATGTACTCCGGCAAAAATGCGGTAAACCCCGCATATCCCACGCAGTGGGCCTTGAACCCTACTGCGTATCAAAATATAGATTCTAGTCAAGTAGACTGGGCTGCATTAGCTCAACAATGGATAGCGATGAAAGAAGCAGCGGCAATTGTTGCCGCACCACAACCTCCCGCAAAACCCGACATAGAAGGTGGCGAAGCTCCCATGGAAGTTGAAAACCCTGACACCAATTGCGAGAGTATCGTACCACCGGGAGCAGAATGGAACGCCGCTACAAATTCTTGGGGAAACACTTGGAATCAATGGGGTATGTTAAATAGGCACGAACCCAAGTTATTAATTAATGCCACTTCCTTTTATTTATATATTTAAGCACTTAAAATACTTGGAATTTTAGATTAATGAAATTCATAACATAGGTAAAATCAAATTTTTATTCAGTTTAATCAAGTCATCTCATAAAAATTCATTCTATACAAATCATTATTTTTTTAAGCTCAAAGTTGTTCAGTAGACTATGAAGAAGAGTAAGCTTAAAAATGAGATAAAGCCTGGTTCCAGTAAAATAATGTATTTTATAACTTATGCTGTTACTGTTCAGAATAAATACATAATGTGGAAATGTTTTATTGGAACCTGAATAACCAACAATCTAATAAATCAATGGGCACAAATGGCAATGGGCCTGCTTAAAGCTTGAGGAGCTATTGTTAGGAAAGAAGGGTTCTCGAGTAGTTCAGCAGTAACTTTTAATAACTGATTAATGTATGTATTATGATTAAATGAATAGTAAGGGCAAGACATGAAACTAAACTGAATAAGGTTATATTATATACTCCCTTCAGTTGTCAAAATGCCAGGATGGCGTACATCGGACTGTCCAAACAGTCTGGTCCAAGTGTTGCTGGTTTTGTAACCTGTTCATATTTATGGAAAGACTTCTGGATAAAGCTAGATAACAAATAATCTATTATCTGTAATTCATTGACATATATGAATATTTGCCAGTTGAAAATTGTCAATAAAATTGCGCCAATTCGGTCCTTGTTCATTTAATTTTGTATTTAGTGTTTTCTCATTCGCTTTTGTTGCATGATTAATCTTTTTTTTTAGTTTTTATCAAAATTGGGTACCCATTATTCTTATATAACCACTCAAGCGTCCAAGCCACGCAAGTGACTCGCCCCACCTGTCTGCATATTAAATGTCACTTTTTTATTACGACCTTGCGAGACACTCAACAAAAACTATTACTTCTGTAAAACTACTATAGCTACATTCAAATAGAGAATATTCACGAAAAGCTCAAGAAAATTAGAATTTCATTTTGTTAAAACAAAATTGCTCTAATTAATAATAAAAGATGAAAATAAAACTTAAATTTGGGAATGTCAAAAAAATGATCGTATTTATTTTTTATTTTGAGTTTTACAAGAAAAGTGTAATAGTTACTGGAGACAATTATTTTATGTTATAATAGTACATGATATACCCTTTAAAATAATACCAATATCTCAATATTATTTACTCAATATGGATAAATATATAACATTTACTCAATATAAATATTCACTCCCCAATGCAATCATAAATTGCATGAGTTGCATTTTAATCATTTTTAAACACATTTCAATATATTTCTTATAAATGGCTATTATCGTGTTAATAGTGAAGCATTATTTTATATTTGGCATTTATTTAACAAAAACAACCGATTGGAATATATTTTAAACAACATCACACAAACTAATCACATCTTTGATTAAGCTCCACATGCTTTAACAGTCCACAAACAAAAATGGCAAACTATTATTTACACTTTTTAAATACACCCCTTTTTTTTTTTTCCCACAAAAAAAAAAACACACCCCAAAAAAAAAAAAAAAAAAAAAAAATTTTTACTGGAAACGAGGCATTCCATCTTAGTTCTCATGGGTGACAACGCATCTGCATTTTGATTTGTAATCAAGGATAGATGTAGATGTACACCAAATCTTGGGTTTGCATTTGATTTTATTAATTATAAGATCCGAAATAGGTGGTAGTACCCAGCCGCCTTATCTTTTGGAATTAGGATTTTCATACAGGTATACCTAATTCTTGATTATGCTTAATGGTATCTGACCGAATGTGATGTCAGACACCATTCAATGGGTAATCAAAAAATAAATTTATATTGTACTTGTAAAGAATTAGTGACCTATAGTATAGTACAGTGTTACTGTTTCTAATAACACTACTTAAAGTCTCTTTGGTCCATGTAACTGAATTGGTGAAACATTTACTAAATATTTAAGGCTGGGGATGGCAAGGAAACGATCCAAAAATGGCAGGTGATCCATCTATGACAATGACACCTATGATGGATGGGTATCCAGTTGCGCCTGACAATGCTTCAGCTATGCCAGGGTAAGAAATATTTTTTTAATAAATTCTAATTCATGTAATAATGTTTTATGTGGTACAGCCACACTGCAGTTGTATGTTTGGATATTATGGTTGTAGCACTGATGGGTCGGCCGACCGGGGAAGAACCACACACAAATTAACAGCTCAATACTGCTATGTTTTGTATGGTAAGTGTAAAGAACCAGATACCCTATTTACTGGAAACAAGGTATTCCATCTTAGTCCTCAGGGGTGACAACGTATCTGCCTATGGGCCACAGCATCCATTTACCATCAGGTGGGCTGTGTGCTTGTTTCTAACCCTAATTCTATTTTAAGCTATTGCATAGCTTTTATCGCAGGCTTTGAGCGCGGGGAAACAGAAATTCCTAGAAAAAATTTAAGACCCGAAAACCTAACATCGTCTAACGTCGTTTAAGTTCGGCAGACTTGGCACGAGTAATAAAATATTTTAAACAATAATATAGTTTATTGCAAGAAGCATATTCTTTGGATTTATATGAGTCTTCGTCATGCTAGCAAATTTCGTGAATTTGGAGTATTTAATAAACACAGACTTTATAGAAAATTACTGTTTGTCGGAAGAACTCGTTAATTACCGTAAACCTATAGTTTCAATGATAAACATTCCTGAATAACCTACATCTATTGTAAGATAATAAAAATATTTTAAACAATATTAATTCTCATTTTTTCAATAAAAGAAAAATAATTGTTTTCTTATTGGTCACCACGCTCAAAAAGTGTAACTTGAATTAATATCAAAGAAAAGCTTGAATTAATATCATAAAAGAGAAAAAAAAGTACTGCATAAATAAAATAAATAAATAATTATAAATGCGTAAGTTGATAAAAATGCTATGCAATAGCTTTACTGCGGCAGTCCCCGAGTGTCACATGTATTTTGTTTTTTTTAAATATTGTTTAATTCATTAATTTGTATTGCCACATAACACTGACAAAAAAATTAACCAATCTCTCAATGGTTATCAAATAATTGATATTCTGCTTCTAACCATTGACTGTAAACCCCCATCAACCCCAAAAACCCATCTGTGAGGTGTCAGAGTGATGTTTGTCGAATGACTATATTATGTATGACATTGCAATAAGACCACTATTAAAATCAAAATATTAAATAAATCATTATATTAAATGTAATAATCAGAGAACTTGTTTTATTTTCATGTTTATCTTAATGTTTTGATTTTTCCATTTGTATGTTGCTTCATAATTAGTGAAATTTATAAATAAATTAAGTTTTGCTTTTGTTATACTCTAAATCAAGTATTAGATAATATGTTTTACTTTTATAGATACACAACAACAGGGGCAGTGGCTACACCAACATTCCAGCATGGCTATTGGACAGCTCCACAAGTAGAACAATCAAACAGTCGAAGTAGTAGTAGAAATCAAGACAATCGATCTAAAAGTAAAAACAGAGATTCTAAATCTTCCAGAAATAGATCTCACAGGTAAATTTTAACAAAAGTGCTGAATCGATTAGTCAGTTTTTTTCACGATTTTTTCTGATTTCATTTTTAATTTCATGATATATAACAAAAGCTTGCTGTGTATTGGGAGCATAAGAGAATGCTCTACCCCATATCATCCCATTGCATGGTAAGTGGCAACAGAGGGAAATTAAAAAGAAAAGGGGCAGCAGCATTTTCCTGATATTTAACTTATAATAATAGAACAATAATGTATCTAACCGCCTGCCAAGTGGGGAGATATTTGACAACCATGACAAATATCCTCCCTATGAGGGGGGGATCCAATCCAATCTATAAGAGGGGTCTATTAGGGGTGTAATAAATGTAACTGGCTGCTGTGACCGAAATTTGTTCTGTATTACATTATTATCTCATCCATTTGCTACATAATTTATTGAACAATGGATTTATGTCGGCTCCGTGCCGCAGTGGCTTAGCAATGGGTTCGCATCCCGCACGCAACAAGCATTGGTATGGCCTACAAATAATTGTTCTGGGTCTGGATGTTTGTCCTTGTGCGATTTATGTTTGTAAACTGCCTCCATGATACAGGAGGATATCCTAGTGCGGGGGTAACGTTTTTAAAATAAAAATACTGTATACTAACAATACTAGGGTGCATATTATTTTATTTTCTAGTGTTACACTAACTAGTTTTGGGGTTGCAGTGGATAGGGATATGAATATCTTTTAATTTCTGCACGCTAGTAATTGTATACATCAAAAGATTATATTCAGAAGTGGAATGAAAGGCTGATAAAGAAGACATACCCTAATGCTAGTTACAGGTGTAGTTACTAACAAAAAAAAATATAACAGTGGTGTCATTAGCACATAGTATAGCTTGATATGTTCCTGTTTAGTTTGTATGTATCATCTATAGTATAGTGTACAGCGCCGCCGAACATCATAGATATACAATCAACAAATTACAGATTAGCATATTATATGAATGATGTCATACTTTGGAATTTTAGTGTTGTTAATTAGCTATATTTCTTGATTTCTCTTTATAAATTACTTAAAAATGTGTTCTTATGCCATTTTAAGGTAGGCCAGTTAAATATGTATTTCCAAGTAATAATGTATTTCCTATTTATCTCAACAAGGTAACATTGGTGCTATTACTGATTGAACATGACATTAGTAATAATAATAATGGAACATATTTTAAACAAATTAAAACACATTTCTGCTACACTATGTACCAAATTAAATTAAAGATATTAGATTCCAAAAAATAATTGCATATATCTTCCATCCGATCTATTAGATCCTGTCAATGTCCACTGTGGAACAGGCCCCCCATAGATTGCCTCATAGCTCATAGGGAGTATATTTGACATAGTTGCCACACTTGGCAGGCGGATTGGCAACCACAGTTTTTTTTTAATTAAAACTATGTTGTTATCAAGAGGATGTTGCTTCCTGTCCCCTGTTTATGTTTCTGTTAAGACTTGGGGTAGTAGTAGATGTTCTTATAATGCCACTACACAGTAATCTTAGTGAGAACATAAACTATCATAAAATTCTGGTGATAGACTTGTTCTGAGATCATATTTGTTGCATTTCAGATCAATGATTTCATTGACCCGTTCCAAGATACACTTAGCACAATATTTAATTTCATGTACCCTGTGTCTACCAACCCAGATCCTGTATGTTACATTAGCGTCAGCATAGCCTCTACTTCCAGTCACGCATTTACTCCAAAAGTTGTCCCTTTCTGTTATTGATGTTCAATGAAACATGATTATCTTGTTACATCTGCCAAGTATTTTATAAAGGAGTTGCCTATACTACCATTTTAATTTTAAATTCACACCTAATTTGAATACTTAACTGAGTCAATAATTTATGATAACATTAACTTTATTATATTCACAGAGAAAAAGTTCCAGTGATACCTCCAGTAATGGATCATATTGACATGCCTGCGATGGGTGGAACTACAGCCACTATAGATGCTGCTAAAAGAAGACAGCTTCCTGCATGGATAAGAGAAGGTAATTCATTATTATAGCTTTTCATTTCAAATTTAAATAAATCTTATTATGTTATTTATTATTGGATCTGCTTGAAATCCATATGAGACCATTTAAAGTATACACTACTAGCAAATCAAAAAATCAACTAAATTGGTTAATTAACCTCCAAGATACACACATAAAAAAATGCAATCTTAGTTACCCCAACTTCATTTTGAAACAGTTAAAAATTATTTTTGGTTGTTTGCTAAATGTGATAAAAAAGAATGTGTATCTAGCAAACTTTAACCAAGTATTGTCAGTTTTGTTTCATCTTACTCGTCATGTTTTTTTCTCTGTTATATGTATCTCTTATTGCTGTTAATTCCTTTAATCATCTTGCTTTTTTGTCTAATTTTATGTATAGGAAAGTCCCACTACTGGAAAATGCTTACTGTTATTTCTGAGACTGGGGCATATATGCTACACTGCTCCATGCATGTTTATGGACTTCATATATTTTCAAAATATTTTGATTCCTAGAATATGCAGGTTTCCAAACAATGTCATCCTTTACTACCGATAACTATATGAATCAGTACTTAAAATTATGAACCCAGATTGCTTACCATAATGTAAGATTTACAGCAAGCGCTTAATGATTGAACTAGCGTGGCTCTGTCGAATTTATTATTATTAAATTAAAACTCATAATTTCTTTATAACCAGGTCTAGAAAAAATGGAAAGAGAGAAGCAGAGGGCCATGGAAAGGGAACAAGAAAAGAAAGCAAGAGAGGAAGCAGAGAAAGAGAAAAAGAGATTAGAAGAAGAAGAATTAGAAAGAATGAAAGCAGAAGCCAGTGGTCAGCCAATGTTACCAGCTAAGAGTAAATTTGTATGTGCTTTTATATAACAGTTTCTGAAATTAAAGAATTATTGAAAATTAAATTAAAGAAAAGAAGTATTTTACAAGTTAAGACCGATTTACACTTCGACAATTACTTTAGCGAGTTAACTTGCGTACCTGGCGAGTTAAGTTTGAACGGCAATAAGCGAGTTAAGTAGCAAGTTAACAATTAAGTTGAACGGGATAGCCGGCCGAGCTAATTTTCGGCGAGTTAAGTGCGAAGTGCTACCCTCCCGCGCGGCACCCGCCACCCGCAACTAAATTCGCCGTTCGTGTAAACGAGCGAGTTTAGTTCAGTGCATGAGTTGGACGCAACGTTTGCGCGCCAAAACGTACAATTGTACTTTTATAATGAAACTCGCCACAAACTTTGTACGATACTGTTTATTGAATATTTATACGTTTTATATAGGGTTTTAATAATAAAATAGATGGAAGATATCACGTATAAATTTGTACAGGAGTATTTAGAACACGATTGTTTATATAATAGTAGAAGTTCAAATTGTAAAATTAAACCTGCTCGAGATGCTGCACTCATGAAAATTCTCAAAAATTTCTTTAACAACAACCATTAATACTTCTCTGACTGGATCATTTAATTCTTGACGTAATCCTAGAACCATCTTAAACGAAAACCAGAAAAATTCTGTAGTCTTGAAACGTCATACTCTAACGAACTCTATGAACTAATGTCCTTAACTAAACTAGCTGTGAAGACATTGTTTGAACGCTACTGCCAACTTAACCGTTTACTGTCAACTGCCCTGTAACTAAACTCGCTACTGTACTTGTCGAAGTTTAAATGGGTCTTTAATGCTATACGTCCACTATGCGGACGTGTCGGGCCGCATCGCAAAAATCCATCTGCTACATTTTGTATGAATCCACTGACTACTGGATCTATTTTAGGAAAATAGTGGGGAATTAGTTTGTTTATGTAGAACTTCATGTAAAGTGGTGTCTTCTTTTTTCTTTTTGTTTGCAAATCTTCAAATTTTCGTAGACAGGAAAATACTCGAAAGAATTTTACTGTATCATTGTCCAAATTAAAAAAAAAAACATAAAATCATATTTTTGTACATATATTGTACAATCAACGTCATCAAACAAGATATAAAATTAAAATAATTCTTCGTCAGAGTTATCTATTGATCACACTACCTTAGGCTCACTTGTCGTCATCATCATCATTACAGCCCTTCACAAGTCCACTGCTGAACATAGGCCTCCCCCAAGGTATGCCACAAAGTACGGTCCTCAGCCACCTGCATCCATCGACTTCCTGCATGTCTTACCAGGTCGTCACTCCATCTAGTGGGGGGTCGCCCTACACTTCGCCTACCGGTACGAGGCTTGTCATAGTTAGGTAAAACTCCGCCTATGCGGCACGGCCCGCCTTGTATAATGAACATAGTATGCAAAAATGCTCGCCGTCCTGTCTAATGGACGCCTAGCTTAACAATCCCTGACTGTAAGTGACTACTTATGCCAAGGATACCTACAACCAATTTAACATCAAACAAAGATCTCTGAGGACGAAGATAAACCTGATAAACTGTAATAATTATGTAATTATTTTTACGTGGTAGAGCCACACTGCAGCTATAGCTATACTATAGTTGTAGCATGAATGAGTCAGCTCGACCGGGGTAGGGCCACGCTCTCACCATACCAGCGTAAAGTAGCAGTGTAATGCTGCTGTGATTCGTATAGTGATTGTAGAGAACCAGAGACCCTTTTTACTGGAATCAAGGCATTCTATCTGAGTCCTTAGGGGTGACAACGCATTTGCATTTTGATCCTTAATTGAGGATAAATGTGGATGTCTATGGGCCGCAGCATCCGCTTACCATCAGGTGGACTGCGTGCTCGTTTGTCACCCAATGCTATAAAAACAATTTATAGTGGCTATGTATGCACTTTTTAACGGAAAACTAAAGATATCAATGGACGCACTGCTGCTTAGCAAATATAAGTAACAGCCTGGCCACAGGACATTCGCCGTAGCCAAAATTCGCGCGGCGCGAACAGCGAGGCGTCTAGCGACTAAAACCAATGTATAGAAATGTATGGATCAAGCCACGCGTAGCGGCGAGTGGCGACGCGACCGGGGAAATTTACCGGGCGAATCGCGCGGGCGACCGGCGGCGTGGCGAGCGAATGAAACAAATGTATGAATCAGTACGGTGCAAGCCACGGAGGCGGACGGTAGACGCGGCGAATAGTATAGGGAACAAAATATTTTAGTTGTTCGCCATGAAAAATGCCGGGCCGGCAAAAGCAACTTAAAATTCTATCTGCATTGACTTTTATCTCCAAATCTGGTTGAATATTAACAAGAATAAGTATAATCGCAGGTTTCGATTCTGATTCTGGTATTTACTCGAAATTTTTTTCTAGATGCATTCTGTATTTGTTATGGAATCCTCCATCTATAATCCTATTCCTATTCAAATCATGTACTCCGCAATCTCTGCCAAATATAATATCTCGAATAAAAAACAATTACTTTCTAAGCAACTATCGAGATTACTTTGATAAAGACATTTCACTCTCGGCGTATCTGGTCGCGGCGGCAAACGTGAATGCCCGTGGTCCTTAAATCGCGCCGCGCGAATTGTCGCCCCGCCTGCCGCTTCGCTGTTCGTGCCGCCGATCGCCGTGACCAGGCCGTAAGATGGTACCAATGTAAACATTTTCCTAGACTGAAAAGAAGTCATGGTTGATGATGTGTTTTAAGTAATTACTATGGATAAATCAAAACCTTAGGGGCTTGCTTTTGACTTAGATTTTCCTTCATCATCTACCTGTAGAGTCCCTTACTTGGCATGGGCTTTCCAATTCTGGGGAGGGTTTGTCTTAATTACTATACTTGGCAAGTGATTTGGCAATTACAACACCAAACATCTTGTATCTTTGATGTTGCTAACCATCGCTCAACTATATGTAAGTCTGTTGTTATTATGTTTATATGGTATATACTTAATTCTGTTGTAATTTTTTTTATTATCTTTTAAGGACTCGGATTCAGATAATGAAGATGTCGACAAGGAGGAGCCACCTTTACCTGAACCAGAGCAGAATATTCAAGAAGAAAATGAACCTGAGGAAATACCTGCTGTGAAAACAGAACCTGACGAAAAACCAACCTTGGTCCAGAAAAGTAAAGAGGAGATTATGCAGGAAGTTGTAAGTGTATTTTATTTATTTATACAAAAATGTAACCTATGAGCGTAATGAATGTTTGAAGTTTATTTAATAAATGAATATAATTGATATAATCAGGCGTTACGTTATATTAAAGGTTACTTTGCGACCAACCGCTCGATTAAATACAATGATGTGTCTTACCTACATTAAAGAGCACCTCCCACCCTCCCTCAATTGCGTCACTAATCCCGTCAACACTAATCCGATATAGAATAGAGCGGTCAGCCGCCGTAGAGTCTACATCACCTCGTGTAGAGGCGAAAAACGTGTCGTATTATCGTCTATGGTGTGTCTTTCCTTGAATAGTGGTGTTGGGAGTGGTGGTGCTGGGAGTAGTGGTGCTGGGATTAGCGGTGACGAATTAGTGCACGCAATTGAGGGAGGACGAGCGGTGCTCTTCAATCTAGGTAAGACACATCATTGTGTTTAATCTAGCGAATGGTTGCAAAGTAACTTTTAATATCTTTAATAAATGAATAAAGTTTATTAAATTTTAAATAAAATTTTTAAAAAATTGGAAAAATCATGGTAAATGATTTATTAAATTTGATCATTGTGAACCAATATATAAGATAAAAATGTATTTAATTTTGTAGCAAATACGTGGTAAATTCATTTTATCTAACAATAATTAGTGGTACGTAAACGTAAAATAGATGTGTATATTGTGTCTTTTTAGTGTCGCTTTTTCGTTTCACCAAGTTTCAAATCACTACGATTCTAAACAAGTTTTCACTTCAATAAATAAAGTCAAGTAGGTAATTAAATAGTCCATTATGGGGTAGACAAAATTTCCAGCATACAAAATATTAAAGATAGTTGAAAATGTGGAAGACCTTCTGAATTTAGTATTTATTGAAGTAAAACTTTTTTACGCACGCTTGACTTGGGGAGTAAGCTGGTAAACGCGTGACGAAAACGTTACGAAAAGTGTGATCGGGTGAGGCGAACGGGAGTTGAGTGGGGGATATAAGCAAGAGAGAGCAGTGCGCGCGCACATTTTCTTTTTCTCATAGCCAGTTATTTTTCGTAATTTTATTTCGTTTTGAACAATTTTATGAATTAATATTTTGTTCAATACATTAAATATTACGTACGTACGTTAAAGGTGATTAAAATTGTAAATTCATTTTGAAGTTCATGTTTCGTGAATTTTTGGGTGAATAATAACAAATAATGGAAGGAAGCCAATAATAAATTTAAATATTTGTAGAAAATAGTGATGCAACGAATACGAATATTTGTATTCGTTGTCGTGAAAGAAAGAAGTTGAAGCTCGTCCAAAAATATTTTTCACTAAAACCATGTACAGTCGCCTCGGAAAGGATTTTTTCAACGGCTGGGAACATCTAGACTGAAAAAAGAAATCGCCTAAAACTAGAAAAATCTACAAATTATGTTATAATTAAAAACTTGCCTATTGTAAATTGTAATTATTAGATCAATAGAATTATTTATTACCATGACGAAATATTCGTATTCGTAAAAGTAGTATTTGTTGCACACAGAAAATTAAAATACGATAGCTAAAGAAGTTTTACTTCAGTCGTGTGGGCATAAGCACACTCGTTTCGTGTTTTTTTTTTATAGAATAAGAGTAACAAACGAGCACATAGTTCACTTGATGGTAAGTGGATTCTGTGGCCCATAAACATCCACATTTATCTTCAAGTAAATATCAAAATGCAGATGTGTTGCCACCCATGAGGACTGAGATGGAATGCCTTGTTACCAGTAAAAAGGATCTCCGGTTCTCTACACTCACCATACAAAACACAGCAGCTTTAAATTTCATATTTTACGCTGGTATTCTGTGAGAGCATGATCCTAATCTGGTCGAACCGACCCTTTCGTGCTACAACCATAATATGGCTGCAGCATGGCTCTACCACATAAAAAGTATACAGTGATGCCAAACATAGGTGCTTATTTAATCAATAAGATTGTAAGAAGATCTGATGGGTAGATTGGTAGATTTAAAATTCTTGTTTTTAAAGATTTTTTTTAAAATAAAATTTGATTTACAAGCTAGCAGCTATCCATACAATAACACAGTCTGCCTGATGGTAGAATTAAGAATGAAAATGCAGATCTGTTCTCATCGCTGAGGACTCAAATGGAATGCCCCACTACAAGTAAGAAGGTCACTAGTTGTTCTCACCATAGTTATAACAGCTAACCCATACGTATTGCAGCCATAATACAGCTGTATTATGGCCGCAACAGGTCGGCTCCTCTTATTTAGTTATCATATATTCTGAATTACTTTAGATCCTTTTTACTGGTAATGAAGAATTATATCCTAGTCCTCAGAGGTGACAATACATGTGCTTTTTGATTCTAAGTCGAGGATTAATATGTGTATCAATGTATTATAGTAAATTCTGTCCTGTTACAATCCATGTGATTTTCAGTGATTGCTGTGTCTATTGGCCATTTATTTATTTACACTTTATTGTACACCTTAATAAAAGAATAACAAAGGGCGGACTTAATGCCTTTTGGCATTCTCTCCCAGTCAACCTGGGACGTGGCGAAAACAATGTGACAGAAGCCAAATATAAAATGAACATTATAAAAAATCAGAATAAAATCTACTGATATTTAACATATTAATAAAATTAAGGTTAGACTAATTTATATCAACACAAATACAATAAAATTATATACCATAAAATTTACTACACACACAAATTCACCTTTACACTCGGGAGTTCATCTATGTGATAATGGATCAGTGAGCTTAATTTAAAGGAGTCAGTCATACAGCTCAAAATTCGTAAATAGTTTATAGACAGTGGAGCCTGGAGGTTTGGTTAGGGCCACATCATGAAATATGTTTAGCGGTTGACTTATACTAGATTATAATTTAAACAACCTCTGAATTTGATGGACATTACTGTTCTTACCGTCCGTCAAAAAAAATATTTCGACGACATGTGAAGTTGACTAAAGTCAACCAAATCTAAGAAATACCTTTTGACGTTTCACATTAATCATTCCGCAATAACTTTGCACAAGCGTACTCACACGATTTAAAATAACGTACAATAAATAATTATAAAGTTTTATTTCATTACGACGTGTATAGTTTTTTATCACTAATTTAAATTTGAATCTTTGAAACAAAGCAAAATATTAAAAAATAACCAGAATCAACATTTTGTACTTGACGTCGTTTCAGTGACATGTCGCTATATATATTACCGTAGTGTTTGGATGATTAAAATTAATTGTTATGCGAATAATCGGCAAAAGTATACCAATAATCGGTAAAAATATTCAAGTAATCGAAAAACTAATTTTTTTAATGTATTATTAGTTAATTTAATTTTTATTTTTAAAATTCCTTAAATTACATGAATCATGAATATAACAAGTTTATTTGTCAACGTAAATTTGTGTTGGCAAAAAAACTCATATACAATGCCGCGATATAAAAACCACTACGTAATTTCAATATCCCGCCATTTCGGGAGCTTACTGTGCGTAATTTTGTGATTTTGTGTTTGTTTTCTTATTTTGTTACTCGGCTTTAACTTATTGGACTGTTTATTCAATGTTCGTTGAAGCATGTGCCCATTTCACAAAGGATCTTTGGGCAAAAGTGGTAGAAAAAACACTGCATTATTGAAAATCAAACAACGACAGCTCAACTAGTTGTACTGAAAGTGATTGAATAAATTTATTTTTAATTTAGTTATAATCTTAAATTTTTATAACTGTGCCTCTAGAAATAAGCAGTACCTAATAACAAATACGTAGAAAGTGATAAATCTTGCGTTTTAAATTATCCGTGTTTAGTTTATTCTGGTATTATTCAAACCAAACTGTAAATGATTACCAACTCTAAATAATCTATATCGATTTTTTTAAGAATCGAATATTGTACGTTCCCATTTTTTGGTTGGTATGCCTGGCAGCGCGGCGGCCACTTCCTTGCCCTAAAACCCTCCAAAATAAGGGGACGCCTACGCCCAGCGGGACGTATATAGGCTGTAATTAAATTTAATGTTTTTACAGTATTCTCTTTATGTAAAGTGGTAACTAATTAATTTCTTATTTCACTAACAGATGTATGCGGTGCGACGATCGCTTACAGAAATCCTGCTAGAGGTGACCGACCAGGAGATTCATACGGTGAGCCAGGAAGAATTGGCCCGATATAACGCCGCACAAGGTATTTCCATTAATATAGGCTTATATCAAACGGCCCGACGGTCACTCTCAAGATTTTGCTCTAAACAGCGAGAAATTTGCGCGCACTGACTCTAAAATGTGATATACTATATATTATAACTTTGTGAAGAAGAATTGTGATGTGTAAAAATGTGTCTTAAATCATCGCTAATAAAGTCTTATTTCAGATGATGCCTGTTGAATGAATACATTTATGTGTGATTAATGTTGGTTTTATTTATATGGTAAAAGCTTCGCGTCTCAACGCCATGAAAGCAAGCAAGTCCAAGGCGCTCGCCGCTATCGCCAGTGGACTCGGTAAGTTACGTTTTTAAGGACGTGCTCATCTAACTATTTCGCAAACTACCCTCGCGAAAGAAAACCTAGCGGCATTTTTATGTTTTGTTTTAGTTTGCCAGATAGTTTTACATGTATATGGTGGTTTTGAATGGTGGAAGAAGATGAAATGTGAAATTATTTATCCTAAAAATTTAATTAGACTTTACCATGGACAACATGATTATAACGAAAAAGTATTTAAGGCATAACTAAACTGCCAATAACATTAGTTAGAATTTAAGAGAAAAATTAGACACCTAGTGGAATAATAAAAACTATTGGACTGTGCATTAATAAAGTTTACCGAAACCACCATATACGATTGTTAAATGTTTGATTTCAGCTGCGCTGCATCTAGTATGATGTTTTTATAATGTTGGCAATGTGATTATAAACGACTGTGTTCGGTATTGTGTAGTGGAAATGAATTGGTAAGAAAACACAGAATTTATTATAAATGTTAATCACATGTGGTATTTTATATATCTGTATACTTAGTGGTATTTGTTAAAATTTTAAAAACTGGAATTTATAGTTACGACATTATAATCTTAAGGTTTTTGATGAAGAGATTTACAAGACTGATCAGTAAATACATGCAATCAATATTGAGGCATCAGTAACAAAGTTTACTGCAATTTTTAAAGTATGTAGACATTAACGACATTTGTACTTAAACAATATGTTCTTTTCTGTAATTTCTGTCTTTTATGATTAAAACTCGCAAAAAGTTTCTTAGAAAGCGTTCTAAAGTGTTTATGAAACTTATGAGTTTATAATCGTATTCAGCGAAATTATGCTTTTCCTATCGTACGTTAGTCGTTTACGCAAGTAACGTATAAAGTTTTGTTCAAGCACGCAGTTATAGTTGGTTTTTTTATAGACCAGTGATTAAATCAATCATAACAATTTCAGCCAAAACAGTACAATGGGTTGTTCTTCGTATTGAATTCACTATATGTTGAAATTAGTAGCTGTAATTTGCGTTTTATTCCCAATATCGTTGTGGCATTTATCGCAGTCGGCTTTGAGGAAAAATAAAGTCCAATGTTTATTTTTCGTATTTTTTCTTAAATATGTGTAAGTCTGTATAATTTTAACTTAAATTTTATCAAATTTTTCACAAAATATTACTAAAAGCGTCCGTACAGGGCTGGGCGCGTACGAGAGCAGCAGCGACGGAAGCGGCGATGAAGACGATCAGAAAGACTTGTCGGATCATCAGTTGCAGGTGAAGTTTTTATCTTATACAGACACCATATTGTAGAAGCTGCAAAGAGCTACCCAAAAAATATATCTTATTGATATATTGCACAAAGAAAATTGTTCTTACAATAACGCTCAATAAAAGAAAATCCAAAAGCAACATAGGTGTCTCTTATAAGCCGTCAGAGTATAATTACTTCAGACCATGTAGTGACGGTGTGAGAATATCCACTACCCTATATCTTTGTTTTTTAAATTCCTTCCGTGGTTGTTATAAGAGGCGAAAGAGGAAAACTGAAATCAGCCTGCCAAGTGTGGCAACTGTAGCAAAACCTCCCTATGAGGCAATTTACGGGGAATGCCTGTGTCCATAGAATTTCATAGGCTCTAATGGATAATGGAACGATCCTCAGTCTAACGGATGACGCTGTTGTCAGTCGTGAAAATGAGACGAAGCGAATATTACGTTTACGGCAATTGAAAACAAGTATAGTGCTATTTTACACTTCATTAAAGTCTTATGTCAAGTAACTTGACTTACGATGTGCATATTGCGTAAACAATAGCGCATCAAATTTTTTTAAACTTAATTTTGACAATCAAACCTTAGTCGATCGCTGGCAACTATAACTGCCCCAACGGTAAACCTTCATACCGGTCGTAACGGTCGGTCCTTCATATCGATTATGTAACCGTTACCATAAAAAAAGGAAATGTCGATGTAGAACCTAGGACTATTCCAGTACTTTACAATTTAACTTTACAAACATAAGATTTAGTCTTTATTATTATTGTGTAAATGTCATGTACGCTATCTTTAATTTTTGAATCGATGTAATTTTTAGAACCCCGAAAAATCGTGAAAATTACACCGATGTATTATTTTTTCAAATATGTTCCTCTGCTATCTTGGATTTATAATTTAAAATGGGATTAAATATAATGACCACCATAAAATGTTTTGATACCCTTAGTTCTTTTACCAAAAATATTTACTTGACACCAGAAAGCCTAAAATTATAATAGTACTAGCTATTTTAGTCATAACTGCACTTCAAATTGTATTCGAATACCAAATGTAGTAAATGATCACCAAATCTTAGCGGCAAATTAATGCGCTATTTCTGTCTAAATCAATCACTGTGAATGCCATAAAATGTAGGCTTATTACCAAATAAAGTATTATGATGCCATATTAAGTTATGAACAGAACACAACAGGTTAGGTTGCGCCTAACGGTAGGTCCGTTAGGCGCAACCTAACCTATCCTGGCGCTTGCGCTTGGCAGATTACTAAAAATGGAGTCAGTTTGCTGGTTATAAAATTAAAAATGGTTATAATTTTACATTAAAATGCTGGTTTAAGTTTGGTGATCATTTACTACTTTTGGATTAACAATGATTTATTTGGAGTCGTTTTGCTTAAATAGGATAGCGAGATGTAAAAACTTTGGTTATAATTTTTTATTAAAATGCGGGTTTAATTTTGGTGACCGTTTACTATTTTTGTCTGTTATATGTTACTATATCTGGTGGTAAGTTAAACATAAGCCATTTAAAATACAAAAAACGGCAAAGGTGCGAGACGTCTGGCGCATGGTGTTCATCAATCTTCCTGCCAAGCTTGCCGATTAACGCAAATTCTACCTACAAGAGGCTTGTGTGCAGGGAATTATTATGGGCTGATGGTGATGATGATATAACGTTAAGATTCAAAAATAAATGTTAATTTTAGTGCTTAGCAGAATTAATGTTATACACTCGCTGCCCGCGGTGCAATGAAATGGGGAAACAGGACACCATCTGTTGCGCTCTATGTTGCACTTACGGGCCTTGCATAAAAATAAACGACAATGATGTTTGTAATTCCAAACTTTTTTGCGTTCAGCGATCGCCTTATGAGGTCTCTATCAGTCCTCTGCCGACATAATATAGCGTAGTTAATGATTTGTAGTCATTATGAATGCAAGATAAATTATCTTTTCGTTATAAAGTTTTTGTATTATTATTATCTTATACATAATATTTTATCAAGAATTTTTGTTTTAATATCTGACAAAGTTAAACATAAAAGTGCAAAAGAAATAAATTGCTAATGTATAAATATATTATTAGAAGTAGTCATCAATTTATTATTACAAATAGTCTATAAGTCCTTGTTTTATTAAGATTTGAAGAAATCTTGTGAATGCGGAATGCTATGTAAAAATGTCTATTAATTATCATATTATTTTCGTCAAGGTAAAAATTATTAAAACAAAAATTCGATGTTATATAAAATGAATACGATTTAACATTGTGATGGAAGAAATGACAAATGTTAGTTTGTGAACCCCACACATTACACATACAAGTTCATAATGCATACATATACATAAACACTCACGCCTGTCACCCAGAGGGGTAGGCAGAGACTACGGACGCGTATTTTCAACATATCGCCAATTTGGTCGATAAACTTTCGCTTAGACGTCCATTCCCGACTCTACCGTTCACTTCTGCAACATATTTTGCTTTTTCACTCTTTCCTCATCCATTCGTTCTGCATTCCCAAACCACCTGAGTATTACTTTCTTAATCCTAGTCACAACATCATCTTACAAGTTTAATACATACTAAACCTATATCTGTATTCTTGGGGAGGGCAAAAAACATGTTAACATATCATTTTTTGTTCCGGTATTATACCTAAGTGAGAACCGCTAGGCACCTTTATCATACCGGTACATGAACGAGACAAGAACTAACTTGTTTTCTTACTGTAAAATTTTTTTGGTATTTTGGATCCGGAACGGTACTGAAAAACTCAGTAAAAGTTAGTAAAAATCACTTTTCGTACACCCGCTCAATGAAATGAATGATGTGACTTAGCTAGTTTGAAAAGCACTTCCCGTCCTCTCTAAATTGAGTACATTATCCCCGTCACCACTAATCCCGGCATCACCACAGTTGGAAAGACACACCATCGACGATAATACGACTATTACCGACAATAAATCATGTACTTAAAATACCCCGTATTTTTTTGCTTTTTATTTTTTATACACGTTACCAGGACTTCTTATCGTTTTCTATATCGTAGAAATGTATAACCTACGGACACTTATTCCCCTCGGGATTCGAACCCGCGACTCCAAATCGCCGTTGTCAAACGATTAGCGACTGCGCTAAAGAGCTGTCATTTAAAAGCAAATTGTGTATTTAGGAAATAATAAAGCGGAAGAGATTGGAGTTTGAGCGAACGGCGCGAGAAATTGAAGCAGAGGTGAGAAGGGCGGAACTCAGGGAGAATGCGGAAGAACCCACCACGCCTGTAGCCACACCCGAAAGGCCGAGGCGATCACGTAAGTCTTTTTTTTAAACATAACAATTAATAAATTTTGTGATATAGCTTTACATGCACTTTAAATTACAAATACAACTTGCCTAAAATCTTCTGATAATATTTTTATTGTTATTAATAAACTAAACTGAAAATAATTTTATCAGTTTGAATAAGATTGTTTGGTAACAAATACGATAAACATAATAAATACCCCTGATAAATATGTTATTCTCTGTACAACATAGCTTGATCTTTTTGACAGATGGGTCTAGTGATGGGAATCGGAAAATATCTAGTAATAGTGCAAAAAATAACGTTTTTATATAGGTTACTTGTAAGTGTTATGAAATGGTTAAAACTACTTTTACGGATTTTATCGCGTTTTATTTATTTTATTTTTAATACCCGACGTATATATAGGGCCCTATATAGGGCAAAGAGATCAATTAGAACTCGCGTAAAAGAACACATAGCTGACGTGAAGCATCAACGTTCCGGGAAGTCTGCAGTTTGCGATCATATTCTAGATGGCCCCAACCATTACATCAGATTTGATAGACCACAAATCCTCGCGAAAGAACATCGATTCCTACCAAGGATGACACGTGAGGCTATTGAAATTAAAAAACATCCTAATTTCAATAGAGAAGGAGGCTGGGTACTACCACCTGCTTGGGATCCTATAATTAATAAAATTAAAATTAAACCCAAGCATACCACTGCAAGACTTCAAAACACAGTTAGTTCATTCTGCGTAGATCGGACCAAAGACAATAATTAAAAAGCTGAAGGTATTCCGGGTTAACTTTGACATCGGGACGTCAGTCACCTCAGTCCCCCGTGACCATGGGTGCTGGAAAGCACCCGAAACGTCGGGTATTAAAAATAAAATAAATAAAACGCGATAAAATCCGTAAAAGTAGTTTTAATCAATGTATAGTGTTCGCGTAAATATAAGAAATCATTATGTGATGAAATGGTTCGACTGTATGTATGTTTTAAACTATTCAAAATAAATTATTTCGTTCATCAATCAATTTTATTGCACTAGACATATAAAAACATTGGGTAAGTAAGCAACGATGGGTTATATTATTCATATGATATTGAGTTAAAATCAAGGTTGAAAAATAAAATAAAATTTTCTCTTTAAAACATAGTTTTCAATCGGGAAGAGAAGCACAACCAAGACTTTCATCGTCGGAGTCGTCATCGGATCTTGTTTCATCACCTCCAACTTGAATTATTAATTCGTTTTCAACGAAATTACCAAAGTGCACATCGCGCATACAGTCAGACAAACTTTTCCTTCACGTGTCGAACAACATTCGCTCAGTTTTCAGCGGTCACCTGACCACAAGCTTCTTTCAATAAACGGAGCATTTTAGTTTGCGGTGAAGGGAGGAGATGTGTTATTGCGTGCTGCATGTCCACGAATGAAATAAGTGATGAATAAAGTAATACTATTTAATGCAATACAGTCAAACCTGGATAAGCGAGAGTTCAAGGGAGCACAATCTGATTCTCGCTTACAGAGGTTTCTCACTAACCCGAGTTTCTCGCTAATGCAGGTACATGGGTAGCGTTGCTCTCTTATAGAGGTACGCAGCAATAACAAGTCACAGCAAGTACAAATGTAGTAAATATGTAATGTGATAATATTAGGTGAATAATATGCATAACATATATGTATTATGTACATATATATTTTTAATAGTGTGTATATGTTACGTTCATTAGATTTCGACTTATAAGTACTGTATAAGGGTGGATTCTGGTAAATTGAACTCCCTCTGAATATCATTTCGCGATTTTCCGAATTAAAACGCATTCACTATTTTAAGTTTATCACTTAATGACAGTACTTTAATTTTCCGTTTTGACATGATACAGAACAGAACTTTCCTTCGCAATTGATTAACTATAAACTGAGTAAGTCCGACAAACTGGACGGTACACCGGCACACGTGTCCATTCGAAAAGAATGCGATAAAATAACAACGTTATTTAGTTCCACAAAATAGAATAGGTACAATGTTGACGAGAAAACAATACAAAAACAATTGTAGGAAGCGCCACGAAAGTTAAGAATGGGTCATAAAATAGAAGATGTTAAATTTGTAATTTGTTTTGTCATTTGTGTTGTATTGTATTTGTGTATCTTTTATGTATGTATTTTTATTGTAGCTATAGTTCCTCCTAAATAATATAAATAAATAAAGCTCGACTGTCGCTTATAGAGGTATAGATAAGTAGCAGTCTCACTTACGGAGGTCCATGAGGGAAAAACGACTCTCTCTTACAGAGGTTTCTGTTTCTCGCTAATAGAGCTTTTGGGAGCTTAAAATGACGATCCTGGCTATTACTCTCACTTATAGAGTTTTTCACTTATCCAGTTCTCACTTACCCGGGTTTGAATGTATATATTATAGTATTTATGATAAAATAAGAAAATGTATTTAATGCAAATATATTATTATATTTATCAAAAAAATAAATTAATTTAATTTGTGCCCATATCAGTTCTATGGCATTATATTGATAGTGATAGGGTGGCAATCTGATAACTGTGTGTCCATGTTGCTTTGCTGCTTTGTCCAGCTGGACACTGGCTCCCTTGGTTTGTGTGTAGCCACCAACCCAAGCAGTTCGCACTTGAGCATTGTAATAGCGGCATTTACGCCCTTCTTTATGAGCCACTCTATTATATCGGTTTTTTGTTTCCAGTTGTCGGAGCCTTGTCTAGCTGCGTGAAATGGTAGGATGCATTATACATTATTATTATATGAGGACCGTCCAGGTTGTCATATCATTTTATAGAACCATCCTGAAAAAGTTTCGAAGTTCATCTCGTCGTGGTATTCATTTTTTTTTTTTTTTGGATTGAAATGCCAGTGAACAATTTGACACAAAATCTTTGGCAGTACCTGCGTGGCAAATTATCAGCCTCTCCCCCTTTCCTTCTGGTACTTTTGTCGTTCCATGTTTTTTCAGTGTGTTGTTGTTGTTGTTGGCATTCAAACAAGTTTCGTCTAAAAACACAACCTTCTCCCAATCAGAAATATTTTTAGCTTTTCTTAAAAAATCAAATCTTTTGAGTGCTATGTCGTTTCTTTCCATGGGGACCTTGCGGTTGTTTGATTTTTGGTTATGAAAACCAATTTTATTTAATAGTTTTGACAGCGAGGTTCGACTACCGTCATATAAACCAGCTTCCCTTAATGTTCCCAGCAACTTGTCAAGTGTGGGTAATTCTTTCCTTGAATAATACCCATAAATATGGTTTCGTATAACCGCACATTGAAAATCGGCAATATCGATTGTAGGCTGGATACGCCTTCGTTTTTTATTAGGAGTCGATAGCTTATTCTCCTCATCACCTTCTTTGCTAAATTTTTCAGTCGAAACAATAATCCAATTCCCAAAGCGTCAGCTACACGTTGCCGCACTTGAGACAAAGGCAATGTCCGCCATTTTGACACTCACGCTGAAACTCATCGCGTAAGCGAATTACAAACTCACGCGTTTCAGTGTTAAGCACAGTTTTTTTTTCACCCTTTTAGGCATGATTAACAAAAGCTCACAATGAAAACTAAAATTCAAAAATAAAAACTTAACAAAAATTAAATAATAACGCAACAAAACAAAAGACAACAAAGTAGCTTGAGGGTATAATTCAAGCCACTCGGGAAGTGACGCATACAAGGCTGTCGCACTCGTACTAACAGGCCAGGCGGGCGGATGGCGTCAATGCTGCCAGTGTTGCTAAATCGATAAAAATGATAAATAATTAAAAAATGATGAATAATTAAGGCTTCTTTTTAACCGATATTTGTAACAGTTACTGCCTGTTATTTGTGTCCCATCCGACCGACCGATGTAACATTGCACGAGCATCCATTGTTTTCATTTTTTTCTATTTCAATCTTACTTTGAAGCAATGAGAAGCTTGAATCTTAAAATACTATTGTGTTGTGCCTATTTTTTAAAATTTTTAAAATTATTAAAATAAGAAAATATTATGTTCGTCATTGCAAAGTTATGTCGATCGCAAATTTGACATCTGTCGTAAAGATCAAGCCATTTTGTACAGAGTATAAAATATAAATTGTCTCATCGCTCTTATCTTGAGTTCTAATTGTATTTCTGTTCTACTTTCATGGTTTAAATGCAAATTTGATCTTCGGAATTGTTTTTAATATAATATGTAAAACATTTGAACGACTCTAGGAATGCATTTTTTAAACAGAATAAGGTTGTGCGCTGGGCACAGTCCACCTGTTGATTTGTGGATCTGTGGCCCATAAACGTTTACATCTATCCTCGATTAAGAATCAAAATGCAGATGTATTGTCACCCCTGAGGACTAATATGGAATGCTTTGTTTCCACTAAAATGAACACTGATTATCCTCATTCACCATACGAAACACAGGATCATTAGGCTGCTATTTCACGCTGGCATTTTGTAAAATCATGTGAAACATAGATGGAATACTGTGGAATGTTACATTTAAATTAGATCTTTGATATATTCCTTATTTTATTATTTCCCTTTATACCGTTAGTATTGCTCACGACTAACAAAATTCGCCTGTTGTTATCGTTTTAGGATCATCAGCAACACCTCCTCCTATAGAAACCGAAACACCTGAAAAGAAACCAGAACGTCGAATGTCAAAAGACGTCAAAAAGAACAATCATAAATCTAGCGATAAACAGGACGGTGTTCGGAGATTAGGGACAATACCAGAGGAAAAGGTAAAGAAAACAAACAAGTGGGAGAAGACTCCGAGTCCACAAATTAAATCAACAAGTGAAAAAGACAGTTCCAGTTCAAGTTCTAGCGATTCAGATGACTCTTCGTCCAGTTCCAGCGATTCATCGTCAGAAAGTGACCAGGATGCGAAAGTTGTGAGATCAAAGAAACGTAAACGTAGAAGCTCCAGTGAGAATGATCCAGCGAACAAATCAAAGAAAGAGAATCAGAAGAAGATACAGAAAACCGATGAGCGGAACGCAAAATCCAAACATGGCAACTATGAGAAGTACGAGAAGTCACGAACTAAGAAGAATGACGAACATTACGATAAACATAAATCATCAAGGAACGAAAGACACAAGGATAAATATAGAGATGATTCAGACGATGATAGACCTAGGAAGCGTTCTAAGCGTTCCACAAGTTATGAATCGCGGTCAGGTCGAAAGAGAACGTCTAGGGATAGATCGGAAGAAAGGTCGCGCCGGCGGGACAAACGGTCATATGACAGGGACAGTTCGAAAAGGGATAGGTCTTACGACAGATCGGGGCGTGACTACGAGAGGTCGGGTCGGGATTACGACAGATCGGGCCGAGACTACGAGAGGTCAGGTCGAGACTACGAGAGGTCGGGTCGAGACCACGACAAGTACGATAGGTATGAGCGTAGGGACGACCGGAGGCGTTCGCGAAGTAGAAGCCACTCCCGACATCGCCGGTGAACGTCAGGGTAACAACGCGACAGGTTGTATTTTTGTTTTCATTTTGAATCTGTGTGATCCTGTTCGATTTAGAAATACGTTTATTACAAAATAGATCTTTATTTGCATTGTATGCCGTAGAAGGAGCAGACATATGTAAACCTTCAGTCCAGTCCTCTTGCTACCAAATTATGTAAATAAAATTGTTCATTAGTAGTCCCTTTCACACAATATCCACACAATATATATATATACTGTAGCAATCACTTTACGTTTTATATACGCATTTAATGGATCAATTTATAAAAGTTAAATTAAACTGTTTCTTTAATACTAATGTTTCATGAATTTTACGAAAGAATTTAACGTAATACAAAAGATACCTGTATATTATATGTCAGAATATTTAAATTGTTTTAACTTTACTAAATGTGAATACTAAAGTAACACGTAAGAAATTACATTTCTATAAATAATAGTTTCTGTACTTTCAACAATACTACGTAACTATAACTTTCCTACGTGGAGGACACAATTCGCTTTTATAAATTATCTATGTTCCATTCGTGATCAATAATGAAAGATGACAGTGTGAAGATATCTCTAGCAAAAGATGTCAGAAATATGTTTTTAAAATCATGTGTAGATTCCACAAATTAGTTGTGAGTGGAATCATAGTTCTTCCCCATTATCATTATCTTGTTCTCTTTAGTATGGCGTCTAAGTTCGAACTCTCATAAATTTTATGGAATTAATATTCAAAGGAGTTGTATTATTTTAAAGTTTTACAATTTCAATTATGAAATTTCTAAACGACGTGATCTTTAAATATCTCAAAATGATATAAGTGAAATATATAATACGTCCCTATAAGGTATCATTATCTTTTTATATTTTCAATAACGTATTTATTAAACATGTGCATGTGCTTTTACAATATAGGTACTTACATGAACGCAAAGATAACGTGAAAAATATATTTCTGATATCTTACAGAACATCGAGCTGTGATATATTGTTATTATTTTCTGTTACAGGTTGGAGCGGACGTAGTAGCGCTTGCGTCTCGGTTGTGTAAATATTCTAGTGATAGTGTAAAAAATTTAATTGCATCAGCATCAAAGCATTGCATTATTCCAATAAAAATATTACCCAATATCTTTCTATTTAATCGCTTCGAGCGTGGCGGGACTCCTCTAACATGACAGAAAAGAAAAATGAAGGAAATCTCAAAAATTATGAAATACTTGAACTTTTAATATAAAGTTAAGGCAGACTTATAGGAACTAGCATATATATTACAATTAAAGTTTATTCTGAAACCGACTTATATATGAATAAAATGAGTACATCATCAATGTAGTCGATGTCAATTAAATTAGCATTGTTCCTCCAGACCGAATATCGGCCACGGCGGCCTGCCCCAACGGAGGCTAGCCATCGGCGCAGGACAGGATTATGGTGCCCAAGTGTATGCGCAAGCATAGGTGCACTCTCTATTCCCTCACTCTCATAATCCGATGGGACGGTAAACCGACACGCCCGGGAGAGAGATCAGGCGCAGGACCAACGGCTTTACGTGCTTTCCGAGGCACGGGGGTGAGACACCGCCAACTTCCTGACTCCGGGCAACTACTGAGAATTTCTTGACGGAAAAACTCAATAATTACACTTTTTTGGCCCGATCCGGGATTCGAACCCAGGACCTCATGATCAGCAGTCGCACTACTACAACCACTAGACCAACGAGGCAGTCAAAATTAATTAAATTAGCATTATTAGGGTTAACTCAAAAACTACTTGTCAGATCTTAAATCTATATGGGGGGACCACATAAGAAGCACCAACTTTCAAATAAAAAAAGAATCATCAAAATCATTGATGTCTTACTACTACGTATAGAGAAGATGCTTTGCAATTTTGCGCCACGCTTTGCGGTACACTCTAGTGACTGTACCGCAACTGTTTAGTGAGTGTCCAACGCCCGTACAGACGAGTCGTGTTCGCTTCGCATAAATAATAACTTCAAAATGCCTGGTTGTGTTCTTAAAGACTGCAGTAAACACTCCAGAACATCAAAAAAGTGGCGGTTTAATATTTCATCGGCAAGTAGACACAAAACGTTTAAAACGGGCAAAATGTAAAATTTATGGAAGCGACTTGTACACTATGTTGAATAATACGCGTAAGCGCCATGAAATTCCTAGCGCTTATGATGTTTTGGTCGCGTAAAAACTAATCAGTAATGCAAACTAGCGCTGCATGTTTTAATAGTTTGGTTAGACGACGTAACTATTATTTTAGCTCTGCAGCGAACTTTAGTTCTAACTCTTACCCAAAATGAAGCAAACTTTTGGTTCGGGGTGTCTGTTCTATACGCTAGTAATATAGTTCGATGATCAAAATCGGTACACCTAGAAAAAAGTACTGAAGTAACACACATTAAAAAAAGAAGTCTTATTGAGAACCTCCGCCTTTTTTTGAAGTCGGTTGAAAATATTAAAACAATTTCAATTTAATACGCGTAACTTCTGATCTCATGATGAATGTGAACATAGGAGGTAGTAGAGTTAAAGGCACTGCTGAGTCCTTGGTACAATTACTTAGGGCATCGAGAACCAATTCCTTTCCAGGAACCGGTTCTTTTCTTTCTTTTAGCTTGGAAGCTATTTTCGTTCAATGTGAATAACGATGTTATTATAATCACATTCATAAATAAAACAGTTCATTGCAAATCGTAGGTACGATTTATTATTTTTAAAGCCTTTTCAAGTCTTGGTAACAATCATTTCTGAGTCAATATGGAATACTAACAACTTAATCTATCTAAATATTATTAATGAATGGTTCCTTTTCATATGCTTAACATAAAGTATCTTTAAAAGTTACTAATCAAGTTGTACTTGCAATTGTTTCTTTCTAACTAAATATAAAACAATTCAAATATCTCACTAACAGAATATTAATTGTACAATTGTACGTAAACAGTTATTTAACATTTTACTTACATTTTAATATCAATCAACATAAAATAAAACAAATCAAACATCTTACTCACTAGGAACATTCATTTTACAATTGCACGTAAACAGCTATTTAACATTTTAATATCAACATAAAATAAAACAAATCAAAAATTGCCGTGTAGAGTTGAGAATATCCACTACGCCATATCTTCCCGTGGGTGTCGTAAGAGGCGACAGAGGGACGGAGATGGGCAGCAGCATCTTCCTAATAACAACAATAACATAATAAAAAACTACGGTTGCCAACCCGCTCGCTAAGCGTGGCAACTATGGCAAATATCCCCCCATGAGTAACGGCGCAAACAAAAGGCCCCCAGTCCCCGGCGGCCCCGCTATTCCTAGCTACGGTGGCGGCGACCATGGTAACGGCGGGGCAGGGGGTGCTAAGAATCTCCGGTGGAGGTTCTGTTGCCACCTACAGCGATTCGACCTGGCAACATATAACGCACGCACCCTGAGGACTGACTAACGGTAGCCATAATAACGCAACTTGACCATTTGCAGCCACGCGTTCTTCCTCGTCCCCCGGCCCGCAGTAGTGAGTCTAGAAGTCTAGTCTGCCCGCCGCCGCCACCTAGCCGTAGCGCGCCGCGACAGTTCAAAATTTCGCGCCGAGTTGAGTGAGAGCGAAATTTAAAATCCGCGCGGGGAGGAGGGTCTGCTGGCCAGCTAGGCACACTCGCGTCGAAGCTTAGCTCAGACAAACTGCGGGAAAATATTTTGCATTTCTGGCGTCGCATACTCGCAGTTTAGTTAAATTTTGCGTACTTAAATCAATATTATAATGGCATTGAAGTCTGATATAGAGAAATTTAAACTTAAAAGATTCTCAGTGAGTGTTTTGTTCAATTCTAAAACAAAAAGCAGCACGTTTTGGAAATATTTTGGCGATCTTGTTCTCCACGATGCCGATGAGAACGTCAACGAGAAGAAAAAAGTTTTAGAAGAACTGGTGTTTTGCAGTATTTGTCTAACTTCGAAGAAGGATGAGTGTGGTGATAACTTTTCGTTCGGATCGCAAGTAGATACCTATTAGTCATGTAGTTATGGTTATGAGTAGGAGTCGAGAAACGAATTTATATTGACACACTTTATAAACACAATACCGAAATAAAAAAAGAATCATAACACTTTTTCTCTAACAAAATAATGTTACACTTAAATAAATAATGAATTTCAACTAGCAATCACTTTCGATTTGTGGACAGACAGCTATAGACGTCTCAATTATATTACTTTTACATTGCACTACCTGACTGACGGTAAAGGCTTTGATACTTTTATTCACTAAGTACATATTATTTCACGGCATAACCTCTCCTAACGAATTTAAGTATAACTTCTTGAAATCCTGCCATACTCCACCATAACGTAATCATTATTGAATTATATGTTTTGCTTTATCTTGCTTAGTTCAGCCAATTCTTTTCTTTTTATGTCAGACATTGAGCTGAAAACTTTCATTTTAAAAACTGAACAAATGGAAGGTGTTAAGAGTGGAGAAAAGAAAGCAATAAACGAAACAAAAAAGAGTTTGCAGTCACTGACAAGAAGCTTTGCAGTGTAACTGACGCAGGAGCTAATGTGAAACGGGTAGTTACATAGGCGAATATTGATAGCCATCTTTGGCTAGGCCATGGTCTCCATAACCTTTCATTGTAGATGGGATTAAAAAAATTACAGAAATTTTAAACTTAGTTATTAAATGCAAAAAAATAGTAAAAGCAGTAAGATACCGATTGGCAGATTTAGAGAAAGATGCAAATAACGAATAAAAGAAGTTTTTAAATCTTCTAGAAACAGCAGTTCAAACTGTTGAAGACGATGAAAATGATCCTATTTGCGGCAAGGAAAACGAAGTCGAAAAAGATCGCTCTCTTTTCGGAAATTTGTCAAATGTTCCTAGCGTTAAAACGTCTACACCCACACGTTGGCCTAGTGTTCTAGAGATGCTTGAAAATATGGCACATTGTTGTAACAGAAATCCCATTAACAACATTTTGAGAAGAATCGGCCAAGATGACCTCAAAATTGTGCAAATGGAATGGAATTTGCTTGAAGATTTGATAAAGTTTTTTGGCAAGTTTCGAGAAGTGGTGGAGGGAATATCATCTCAAAAAAGATGCACTATTAATTTCGGACTTGTTTTGAAAACGGAGTTAAAGGAAGTGCTTAATTCAATCGCAGATCACGAAACGTTGATCATGTTGGCTTTGAAAAACAATAGGTTGGCCAACCTCGTTAAAAGGTTCCCGACAACAGAAACACTTGTCACTGCAGCTTTGCTAGACTGCCGTTTTATAAGGCTTAAAGAAATAGACACATACCTCGAAGCCAAAGCGAAGACACCTGCGTCTTTCGTAGTGGAGCGCGCAACAAATAAAATCCATTGCTCGAGACTAAAGTGAAGATCCACAAGAAGTAATCCAAAGCCCAAGTACAAGTAAGGAATCACTACTAACTCAGCTGTCTCGCAAATATTACTATTCCCAACATAATTCAGAGAGTGTTGAATATATCGACCAAGAAGTCTGGAAATATATCGCAACTGCAAATCACGCAGAGCTCGAAGATGGCGATCTCCTGGGTTACTGGAAGAAAAGAAGAAATACTTACCCACGGTTGTCATCCTTAGCACAGGCAGTATTATGCATTCCTGCAACAAGCACTCCGAGCGAACGAGTGTTTTCTATTGCAGGGCTCGTAATTACTGCAAAAAGATCTCGCCTGAGCCCCCGGAGACTAAATAAAATAATATTTGTCCATGACAATTACAAGCAATGCAAAAAAGATGTCAAAGACGTGATCCTTGCTTGATTTTGATTTTAAATAAAGTAATTTTTCAATAACGGGATTGTGTTTAATATATCACCTACATTTACAGTTATTAAACGAAAGTAAGATGAAATGTTCACGCCGCCGCTGAGGTAATTTTGAAGGCGCGCCGCCGCCGGTATTTTTACTAACTTGGCGCGTGCATCTAAGTGAGTCGTGTGCTTAGACGAAATCTGCCTATACGCTCTCTAGTGGTTATATTCTTTATGGGTATTAACATCAATGACGAGTACATCACTCACATTCGATTTGCCGACGATATAGTCCTTATGACAGAATCGCTGGAGGACTTAAGCACTATCCTCAATGACCTCAATAGTGCCTCCCAACGGATAGGTCTTAAGATGAACATGGACAAAACAAAAATCAAGTTTAATGTCCATGTCACACCTATGCCCGTAGTTGTTGGTAGCACTAAGCTCGAAGTTGTTGACGAGTACGTTTACCTTGGACAAATAGTCCGACTGGTAGCCCAACTTTGACCGAGAGGTCAATCGACGGATTCAACTCGGCTGGGCAGCGTTCGGGAAATTACGACACATCTTCTCGTCAGGTATACCTCCAAACCTGAAAACTAAGTTGTACAACCAGTGCGTGTTGCCAGTGATGACCTACGGAACCGAGACGTGGTCCTTCACTACTAGCCGTATAAGGATGCTCAAAGTCGCTCAGCGAACTATGGAGAGGGCTATGCTCGGGGTTTCTCTGCGTGATAAACTTAGAAATGAGGATATCCGCAGTAGAACCAGAGTGACCGAGATTGCCCAATGGATTAGTAAGCTGAAGTGGCAATGGGCCGGCCATATAGTTCGAAGAACCGACAACCGTTGGGGAAGAAGGGTTTTGGAGTGGCAGCCTCGTACCGGTAGGCGAAGTGTAGGGCGACCCCCCACTAGATGGAGTGACGTCCTGGTAAGACATGCAGGAAGTCGATGGATGCAGGTGGCTCAGAACCGTGCTTTGTGGCATACCTTGGGGGAGGCCTATGTTCAGCAGTGGACTTATGAAGGGCTGTAATGATGATGAATGAAGATGATGAAAACAAATCAAACATCTCACTAACTAGGAACATTCATTTTACAGTTGCACGTAAACTGTTATTTAATATTTTACTTACATTTTACTATCAATCAACATAAAACAAATCAAACATCTTACTAACTAGGAACATTCATTTTACAATTGCACGTAAACACTTGTTTCACATTACTTAAAATTTTATATTAATAAACTTATTATATAAATAGAATGAATATAAATTAATATAGAATAGAAATTCTAATGAAATATTAATACAAATTATACTGTTTCCCATAAATAGAAGAAATGTTAAAAAATCACGTTTTTTATAACAATATATTACAGTGATACACTTATTAATAAATTTGGTAAAGGAACCGAAAGAATCGGGTTTTTAATTTTGCCCTAGCTCAGAGATTATTAAACTTCTTTCTTTTACCCCTTTGAAAATCAATTATTTTTCAACGCTCCTAATTTTTTATACACTCCTAAAACTTAATAACCACAATTTCATTACTTGAATTAATTTACTTATGGTGTGCTATATCAGTCGGTTCTGGTGTTTACACTTACATTCTAAACTAGACATTATTACCAGTGAGATCAATTAAAACGCAACTTTATAATATTGAGAATATATTTTAATGAAATTAAAAGAAACAATATTATAGATAGGTAATCAATTTTAGTTTTAAGAGTAATCTAATGAGATGGATGAATTTGATTTTTAACAAGTTTATTCATATCAGGTTGAATTTTACTCAAAAACATTCGTAAGTCGCCGCGTTCGGTAACATGCAAACGATTTCTTCTTTTAGTAAGTATCGTTATTTATTACAGTGTTAAAACCACGTTCACAAAAATATGACGATGGGTATTCTACGAAAAATCGTTGAACGATCGACCACAATGCAGGGTACAACTGCGGTATTGACTTTTATAGCCAGAATTCTTGGTAGCCATTTTTGAATTTGATTTTTATTTCCTCGTTTGTTGTCAGTTCTATAAGTTCTTCTTACAGTTGGGGTGATACTGTTATGTTGACATTTGAAAAATCATGCAGTCTGGTATTTCCAATTTCAAAATGTCCTGTAATCTTCAATGAAATCACTGGAAATTTTTCAAATGTTGGCAGTAGACAAGCAAGTCGTCGTTGTTGCAGGATACTGATGAATTAGGAAAATTGTGGAACTCACGTCTGCCGATATTCTTCTTGTGTAAGAGCAGCTTGACTACGAAATCAGCGACGACATTTTTTTGTTTTTATTAAGTATTTATTACAGGTCCGTCGCGCAATTCTGTCTTTTTTATAGAAGAGGGGCAAACGAGCATACGGTTCACCTGATGTTAAGTGACTACCGCCGCCGAGGAATTGCAGGTGCGTTGCCGGCCCTTTAGAAAGGAGTAAGCTCTTCTTGAAGGTCCCCAGGTCGTATCGGTCCGGAAAAATCACCGGTGGTAAACTATTTCACAGAGAGGTCGTACGCGGCAGAAAACTCCTTGTGAAACGTACAGTGGTGGACTGCCAAGCATCCAGATGGTGTGGATGGTTTCGGGAGGTTTGTCGCGTAGTGCGTTCATGAAAGGAGATGGCCAAAAATTGTATGAACCTGTGCCCCAGACTATACAGAGATGAAATCTATGTCATTTGAAAGTACAGATCTTCTATAGATAGAATTAGAAAATTACATGTACCTACGCAGTAGTGGACAAAAGTTATGAAGATTTATAAAAGTTGATTTTGGCAGTCAGTTTTTATCATTATTACACAATGAAGATATTCCAATTCATGAGTGTTATGTAGGTTAATATATGCATGATGATTGGGATGTATCCTTATCGTTTTAGCTAAAAAAAACAAGGACAGCAGTCTTTGAAATTATTATTTGTACATAAATATCATATAAGTACCAAAAAACGGCGCGTAAGTCGGTAGACGTGAATCAGATCATGGAGGTTAGAGAACCTCCATGTATCAGATCAATTCTGACATTGACTGTTGCAAGTACTAAAGTAAAATAACCCTACCTATAATGTAATGCTACATGTTTAAGCTGTTGCTGTATTAAACAAATAAATAAAATCCTTTCCTTTAGTGTATTTTTTAATTGTTTTTTTTTTTGTTTGTTAATTGAAGGCTTGTTTTTATACATAAGATCCGTGGGCTTAGGATTAGGTGGTCAAAGCCTACGGACGCGAGCGACTTATCCGCCAAGTTGCACCAATAGCGTTATTTAATAAAAACTAAGAAATCTATGTTAAGTATTTCTAGTTTATATACAAGGCAAGTAAGATACAAGGCAGAAATATAAACTAATTATTCGATATAGAGTAATAAGTAGGTAGGTTTTAGTTTTAGTAAACTTTAAAATATAAAATTTCTAAATGAAATTACAAATCAACCGTCGCACCCCTAAGCCTCACGAACGCTCTCCATTTTTTTCTGGCCCCCTTAATGCCACCCTCTACGTCTCCAACGCCCACAAGGGGGCGTTATCGCCCACTTTGAGAAAGACGCCCCTAGATGCAACACAACCGCAGTGTCTTAGTGACGTAAAGCCGCGTATCTATTATGTGCTCCTAGAGGTCGAACATTGGCGCGCGTTCCAGCCGCATGAAATGGATACCGACTTGGAACGCGCGCCAAATTGTTCGTTGGAACGCTCAAACCTGGAGTGGGCCGTTCCATCTGGTGTTGGTTTTTTACCACGTATCAAAGTAGTTAAGCATTGGCGCGCGCGTCGGTTGGGACGGTTGTTTTCGGGTGGTTTCACAAAAATGTGACAGTGATAAAAAATAACAGTATTTTATTTTTATCGGAACACGGTATAATTTTTGCAAAGGATCAATCCATTACATATTTTAATAAATGATATGGAGATTCTTGGGTTCATAATTTGCTTTTTAGTAATATTTTATTAGTATTTATCCGCCCAGATAATGAATAACGCTCTATTCCGTTACCAAATAAGCATGGTGGTTTTACCAAATCAAACACACTTTGAACTTGTTAGCAGTTTTTAATGTGTCTTAAGAACTGTATTTGTATAAAATAGTACAAAATTACAATAAACAAAAATAACAAACTTTAATTAATTCAGTCTTTATTTCCATTACGTTACTATTTGACCAGCTGTAACACTATTTTTATCGACAAAATTACGAAGCCTTTCGAAAAAATACAATTATTATTATTTTAAAATAAACAACAAATAATAGTCTTCTTAAGATTAACAAAAAAAATGTCTCTCCACGTTAATAAAGTAATACATATAAAATTAAGTAATCAACAAAAATAGGACAGTCACCGAAAGGAATAGTAAAGTTTCGAAATGGAAATGTAAAGAATAGTTTACATGTAGGAAGAAAAATGTACCCATTTTTTTACGTTTGCACTTCCTACAATTCCACCCGCAAAGATCGGGGAATCTTTAATTACACATAGTTTGTAACAAGTCTACGAGGGAAGTCTACTACGTACATGTCCGTACAAAATAAGAAAACGTTTTAGTATTTACGAACTATTAATTTGTTCATGAGAGTTTCTCTGTTC